ACCTGGAGATCATCCCAGATCCCGTTGGCCAAAGTAATTTCTCACTATTGTAATTATCATGTTTATCGAAGCCAAAGTTGTGTCGTCTTCGTCATTCATCTGTGATAAGAGTATTTGTCGGAAAGATCAATTAGACAGATGCCGGCTTGTGAGAAGAAGAGGTATTGAGAACGGAGAAAAAAACCAAATGCTTACCGCGCGTAATTCCCTCATTAAACTTTTACGAATCTCTATACACTTTCTACAAAGTCCTCTGAGAATTGCCATCTGACCAGGGGTTAAAAGTGTGTCGATTCTAATGAGCAGAGCAAAAAGCCACTGAGACATGCTGATGGACATTCCGGTGTTTAACCATTTGATGTGATAAGAAAGCAGGGCAATTGTTGTAGACTAATTTGGAAGTAAACTCGAGGTCACTCGCAAATGCCGACATTTTGAATGACTGACTATCGACGACTCAAACCTGATCCATTCTCGATATCATATTCCAACTGGGTAACATCATCGCAGCTGCTTCATCGTTTACATCAACTTCCATCGGCGTTTCAACTTCCGAAAAATTCAAGCCGTAGCAGAACCTTGACCACCCAACTTCGTCTTGACATTTTGGTAGTTTCACCGGGTGACGAAGTGGATCATTTGACGAAGGTTGTTGTTCTTTTGACGTCTTAACCATGTACAGTTGTAACGCCTTTTTCGTGTAAAAATCATCGTGGGTTAAAAGCTCGTTCCAAGTGTATGATGACCGACATCAAATCAAGCACCATCAGACCTTTCGTAAATTCTGGAATCTCTCCAGAAATCGATTTTCCCACTCCTCATCGACCAGGCCACCTTCCCTATTTCGCCTATCTTGTTCCTCGACCAATGTAGTCTTTGTACTTTCCCAACCTCTCCTCACCCATCCGGCTACCTTGACGTTACTGCCGCTTCCACCGGAAACATTTTTTGGGATTGGAGTATCGGAGACGTACACGTTTGGTGATTTCTTCGCCTCCAACCTTACCATACGGAGATACTCTTCACCTGTTGCGGGAGGTCTGCTGGGTC